ATTGTGAAGATTGTGGATAGTGCACTCAGTATGTGAAGCTGAAGCACCAAAATGACAAATGAATGGACAGAACTTTGTTTACACTGCTTACATAACTTGACTGTCACTTTTTAATCATTAAAATATGTACACTGTTACATTATTGCTGATTACTGCCTTTTAAAATCTTTTAACTTGTTCAGTGCCCCAGAAATTTGAGAGACAGTACACATTAAATATGCAAAACTAGGAAAACTAGGCGAACCTAAACAGCATGATTAAAAAGTAGAGACATCACCCTGGCAACAAAAGTCCGCATGGTCAAAGCAATGGTATTTCCAGTAGTCATGTACAGCTGTGAGAGTTGGACTATAAGAATAGATTATTTTGAACTATGGTGCTGGAGAAGACTCTTGAGAGTCCCTTGGACTGCAAGAAGATCAAATCAGTCAATCTTAAAAGAAATCAACCCTGACTGTTCCCTGGAAGGCCAGATAATGAAACTGAAGCTCAAATACTTTGGCCACCAAATGAGAAGGGAGCACTCACTGGAGAAGACCCTGATGCTGGGAAAGACTGAAGGTCAAAGAAGACGGGGACGACAAGAGATGAGATGGTTAGACAGTGTCATCGATGCAACGAACATGAAATTGAGCCAACTTCAGAGGGCGGCGGAAGACCGGAGGGCCTGGCGGGATCTTGTCCATGGGGTCGCAAAGAGTCGGACTCGACTGTGCGACTGAACAACAACAACAACAAAAAGTCAATGCCACAACATATACAAAGTGGCCATACTACCTCGTATCATACTCTTGAGAGAGAGCATTATTCATTTGAAGAAGATTGTTTCCAAAAGGCCAGGGCTTTTGTAAAATGCTATAGGACAATACCAGATTTGAGTCCAGTAGCAGCTTAAAGACCAACACGATTTTTAGGGTATTAGCACGATTCTAATCACAGAGACATATGCAGGGCAAACATGTGAAAAATGCCTTGCTCGTAGTGCCAGTCTTAAATCTCATGGAAGTCTGTAGTTTTTTAATTAATTTATTAAATTGGATTTACTAGGCTGTCCTTCGCTACAAGTTTGTATTGTGGAAGCTGAGGAGCAGCAAGTAGGACTGTGCATTTGGATATATCTTGCACAAATATATATATAAAAAAACACCTTAGCAGTAATTTCTGGATACAATCGGCTCTATGGATAGAATCTGGAATTTTTTGGGATACCAGGAAATGGGTCTGAAAAAATATGGGAGTGACTGGGAATATTGGGAGTCAGGGTATTAAGGCTCCCAGGATTTTTTGTTCAAAGTTTGCTGTATGTCTCTGAGTGTCTTTTCAAGGTTTGGGGTTTCTGTTATTTTTTTCATGTGTGTTTGTCTGTGCGCATGCACACCTGGCGACCTCTTGTGACTGACCCCTACTGGGGGGCCTGGAGGATATTTAGAGAGGTGGCTGAATAAAGCCTGCCCCAACCCCTCGACTGCTGGTATTCCAAGGAGGTCTCCCATCCAAGTACTTGTTCAGGGCTTGGTTTTGACTTGCCAGGTTTTGATTTCTGTGCTTTGAAATTAGTTCTGTGGGTCTTGCAACACGGTGTTCTTTGCGCAAGTCAGTTTGTGTCATGTTTGTGGTTAGCAGTATATTCTCTGTTTCACCATTGCCTTGAATTCTCAGGTTGTACACTGGCCTGGATTATCTGATTTTACATTTGTTGGCCTCGCAGCAGCATTTCTATGTGTTTGGCTAGAAGGATTCTCTGGTTTGACAATGGCTTGGATTTTCAGGTTGTATATTTGCAGTGTTAGGCTTGCCACATTGCTACTGGAATTCCCTGGTTCTGCATTGGTTCTTTGGGCTTGTTGGATTTGTCTGCTTTGAGACTTTTGGCTAGGAGTGGCTTTACTTGCTCTTGTGTATTTGGCTATTCATTGCCCTGGAGCAAGCATGGAAGTCCCCCCCCCATGGGAAACAATGGAGGATGGCTGGGGGCACCTTGTTCAGGGTCCGATAGAATTGGACCTCTTTATCCAATTCTCTTGAAACTTGGGGCTTATTTAAAGGACAGGCACCAGGAGCTCCACTGCAATTTTGGTACAATTTTCTCAAAAAACAGTCTCTTCAGCTCTAAAAAAAGATTCCCAATAAGAAATAATGGCACTAAATAATACTGGAACCCCACCCAGAACCTAGATAACCAATACCAATATCTTTAAGCCCCCTGATATCTGGATAAAAAAAAAATACTGTTGTTTTTTTTTTTTAGGTATTATCATGTCATCAACCATTCCAGATCTGGGACCCATTCAAAGCGCTAGGCAGCAGCACAGGACACACTAAGCTGCAAGCCAGCAACAGCCGCCACGACAGGAAGAGGGGGAGGGTTACAGCCATGCCAAAATATAGTGAGAGATAGAGCCATGGGTGAATCCTCTTTGTCAGTGAGTGGCCTGCTCCTCAGCTTGCACTGAAAATGAGAAGTGTAGCACTCTTGTTTCCTAAACATGTGTGCTAGCAGCAGGTCCTTCCAAACAGCAGCAATGAAGTGGCTCTGTGATCGGAGGAGGAGAGGGAGATTGGATTTATACCCTGCCCTTCACTTGGAGTCTCAGAGTGGCTTACAAACTCCTTTCACTTCCCCTCCCCACAACAGACACCCTGTGAGGTAGGTGGGGCTGAGAGAGCTCTGACAGAAATTGCTCTTTTCAAGAGCACCTCTGACAGAACTATGGCTTGCTCAAGGTCATCCAGCAGCTGTGAGAGGGAGTGGGGAATCAAACCCAGTTCTCCCAGATTAGAGTCTGCGCACTTAACCACTATACCAAACCCAGTTCTCCAGACCCACAGATTGAAGACTAGTTTAGAGCACATATTTAGTAGTTATATAGCAATTTTATGTAACTCCTTTCCCCAGCCAATAAGATAGATCAGTATCATCTATCCTAGTAAGTACTGCACACCAGGCTGAACAAAGTCTAACCATCATCTCTATATAATGCAGGCCACCATTTATCGAGTGTCTAGAGAAACTTTCCGTACCAAAGACACAACACTCCCCTATGCCTCAGGTCACCTTCCTGCTAATCCCCAATAACAAGTGCTAGTTTTGAAATCTACTGCTTCACACAAGGCAATTCCTTCCTAAGTCACAAGCCTGAATTGCCACTTAAAGACAAATGCTTTTATTTAAATTATAAGGGAAAAATGATTTGGAGTTTCTACTTATTTAGACTAGAAAGACACCCATACTGCACTCATAGTAAAACATAGCCCTCTTATGGCTTGCATGTTCATCTCCCTGCTGCCAACTGCGTGTCTTCAAGAGCATCAGTGGTCCATGCCCAAATGTTGACACCATCCCACGAGTCTCCAGTTCCACAGGAAAGGGTCCATTTATTTTGGTACCAGATGCATTTTCATGTTAAGTACAGGTTTTCTGACTCCATTTTAAAAGAAGAAGAGGAGATTGGATTTATACCCCGCCCTTCACTTGGAGTCTCAGAGCGGCTGACAAACTCCTTTCCCTTCCCCTCCCCACAACAGACACCCCGTGAGGTGGGTGGGGCTGACTCTGACACAAACTGCTCTTTTTCAAGGACAGCTGTGCCAGAGCTTGTGACTGACCCAAGGGCACATCAGCAGGTGCAAGTGGAGGAGTGGGGAATCAAACCCGGTTCTCCCAGATTAGAATCCGCACACTTAACCACTACACCAAACTGACACCACACCAATTATGGGCAGCTAAGACCCGCTGTTATTATCAAGTAGGAGAGCAGAATGACTGAAGTCGGAGGCCTCTGCTATCTACTCCAAAGTGACTAAGCATTAGGAGGAGCTAAGGGAGTTCATAGCCTCAGCAAGAAACTTACATTTGGCCAAGGATACAGCTGTTTCCCATGCATGCCCCCTTTAAATTACCGTATTTTTTGGACCATAAGACGCACTTTTTCTTCCAAAAAAAGTGAGGGGAAAAGTGTGTGCGTCTTATGGACCGAATACTGAGCCCCAGGGTTCAGAATTTTTTTCCCCCAGTTTTCCTCCTCTAAAAACTAGGTGCGTCTTATGGTCCGAAAAATACGGTAGTTGTCATTAAATGCTGGTGGCCTAGAACAGTTATTCTGCTGTAAGTGGTTATGTTCTGAAGATGACTTTTATTACCCTTTTCTTCAGACTATATTGAGAATGGCAGTGTCTCCAGTCTCTGTTTTGATCTTTTCATGTCATAATTAAGTGGCAAAAAAATTAAACTCAAGAAATTCAACAAAATATGTTCATGTTTTACAAATGGCCATGCATGCAATTCTGCAACCACTTTACCCCCTCCGCCATGCACCAGGAAAAATTTATTGGTTTACAAAATAGAAATTAATCAAATACAGTGATTTTGATAAAGTCAATTTCTTTATTATTGCAGCTAAACAATAAAAACAAATCCAGCAACCTTTATTCCTCTTGCAGATACAGGGTCATGAAGACTATGTCTGACATTTACTAGAAATTGTGTCATGATTTAAAAGAACCCCAAGAGCATCAGTAACTTTTTACGGTCTGTGGAAAATGTTTATCTATGAATGAGACATTCCTCATTTCTTCAGTATTAACTACGTATCTGTGACATTTAGTGTTAACTGGATGTGCACAGAATTTCATCCTGTGTTTTATTAATATATCTGGAAGTTTACCAATACATTTGGATATATTTTATATACTGACCAATCACGGAACAACAAGTATACCCACTCAAGAGAAAACCAATCCAACATTTTCCTTAAAAAAGGATGGAAACAGTATTTCATTAACCCCAGTTAAGTGTAAATATAGATTAAGTTATACCAGCTTTTTCTGCTGGTGCAAGAGGGAGACCCCAAAAATAATGTGCTGGAAATTAGGACACCTGGGTAGACAGAACACTATACATGGGACAAAGAATGCAGCAAGGAAGGGAATCGGGCAGGACTCATTGTGCTAGCAGAGTAAATCCAACCCAAAGAAATACATTTCAACAAGAATGTTATATTTATTTATTTTTCACATTTCTACCCCGCCACAACTTTGCATCAGCCAAAATCAGGAAGATTGTTTTCTTAAAAATGAATCACAAACTTTATTTAAATGCGTTTATTGTACAGCAGCCTTTGCAGAATACTACTTGCCAGGGAGAGTAGAACTTCCATCTGCAGAAGGAGCCTGCCAGCAGCTATGCAGGCTGCTAAAAGGTTTTAGGTAATGGCCAATTTTCTGCACTTCATCTTCAAGACCTTTAATTGCATAACATACAAAATTTATCAGTTCAAGCAAAGCTTCAAATAAAAAACAGGTTACAAAAAAATCAAAGTCCACGCTGACTCAGAAGGCAGAATGGTGCTTTTGTTAACATGAGATACTATTAGAGTGGCTTTAAAATGTAACATTTTTACTGTGAAATTCACCAGAAATTACTAGAAGCTGGGCCTTACATAGCTCAACTCCAACAATGGAATGATTATTATTAATTACAGACTGTAGGAAAAGACTTTGTCTTATCTGAGCCTAAATGTACTAAAAATCAACACAAAGATGTAGATGCTCTTAGAATTTTTCTTAATTCGGGTACATGGCAAATTGCCATAAAATGCAGCCAATTAATGCTTCTTTTAAAAAGATTATTCAAAAAATACATCTTACTTACTTGTGTGAATAATCTGTGATTAAAGACAAGTCATAACACAATCTCTGTAACTGTTATAATCGAATATTCAAGTAAATAACGTGTTTAAGACCAAGATGAGACTGTGTTGTACTTCAGCCCATAAGTGCTCTTTCAGCCTGCATAGACACTCGACATAAAGTTCTTAAAACAATAAATGCATAACGGAAATGCTTCCTAATGATAAATCTTTGGTTAAAAATGTCCCTCTTATCTTATCATACTGATGCAAGCAGGGGATAGGGTTTATTTCTATTCAGAATATGAATGAGAAACTCACACCTATCTTTCTAAACCTTGAAGTAAACCAGTAGAGATTAATCACTGAAGCAATGACAGTGTGTTATACTGTCATAAGCTTTAGTTTGTTGTTAATATTTTTTTGCCTATCATGGAACATCTCTATCAAATTATCAACCTACCCAAGGACTAATACTGGTTATGGTTGCTAGTGGTTAAAGTGACTCAAGTAACCATCACTTTGTTTTGAAAGGAACAGCATCTCCTCTATGGAACAGAGGTTGCAAAATGACTAATACTGAACATGTTACTCCTCTTGTATATTAAAACTTTCAGATCAGGCAACGTACTAGTACCTTGCTTGTAGCAATAGCTACAGGGATAGAAAGAACACTGAAAATTTGTTATGTCTGAGCTTCAGTTTTCATACATTACACTGGACAGCAACTGTAAATCTCAACCAATCATGTATATTTGTATGTGTAAAGCTTTGGATCTTAGTTCCTTGCAGTACAGTATTTGAATACGGCATGTAGGCTATCCCACATGCTTATTGCGAATGATTTCTCCCCCTTCTATCTCAATTTGCTCATACAGCCATTTGCGGTCACAGCGACATTCAGGTCCACACTTGTTGGAGCCGCATTTGGAACAAGCATAGAAACATCCAAGGCAATCTTCATCAAGACAGTCACAGAGATCAATCGCACTATAAAGCAGAAGTCCTTGGCTATCATATACTCTGCTCTTTGCGGGTATTATTTGCCTGCAGAAGGAAAGAAGCATAATTTAGTCATTTGTAATGTCATCTTCCATTTTAACCTGAAAAGTAGTCTTTTTGCTAGTTCTCTTATGCAGAGAAGAGGCAGAGATTTCATGCATAGCAATAGCCATGGAATTATTATTATAGAACCATCACATAGAATCAGGTTTGTCAATCAGCTCTAATGCTTGAGAGAGTTCCCATGCAGTAGGGTAAATTCATGTGTCAAGATACTTACAAGCCTAACAGCCAGCAGTCTCCATCTTGTCACTGTGACTTATAAAGCAATTGTCTTCCTATAGAGCATATATTGCTAATATTGCCACACTCATGTTATTTGTTGAACTGCAAATCAGAGATCAGTTCTTTACCATGCAAGACAGAAGCCTGGTCTAGACATGTGGCACAATGAAACAGTAGTGAGTAAAGTAGCAGGAGGATGGACAAAGCAGGGGAACAATTAAATTTTTGCTGCTTTTGATATGGTCGACCATGACGTTTTGTACCTAAAACATGGTGCAGGCTTTAGAGGGACAACACTTGCAGCTCCAAACATTTTTTTATCATCCCAACTGCATAAAATCGTTATTGCCTACTCTGAATCTGCAACTTGAATGCAATCATATGGAGTCCCACAGTGGTCTGTGCTGTTACATCTACATGATTGAGATCATCTGGAGCTTTGGAGTGGCTGTTATTGATATGCTGGAAAAATCAAGGATCCATAAATCAATCATCTGGAATATTGTGTGCAGTTCTGTTTGTTGTATCTCAAAAAGGACACTGCAGAGCTAGAAAAAGCAGGGAAGAGGACAACCAAGATGATCAAGTGGTTGGAGCACCTTTCCTATGAGGAAATGCTGAAGAGTCCGGGACTTTTTAGTATAGAAAATATGGCTTAGAGAGGACATGATAAATAAGTGATGTCACAAGTTCTAGCCAGCAGGTGATGACAAATCTACTATTCATCTTCTCAGAGGAAGAATCACTTCACCCTGATGCAGTCAGTGCTGTGTCAAAAAGGTACTGGACTAATTTGTTTGGAATCCTCTTTTAGACATAGGCAGACATACCTTTATACCATTATTAGTGCTCTTAAAATACTACATCTTCATCCACAGTCATCTCTGCCTATGTCAGAGGAACCTAACTACTAAGGCTGAGGGTTCAGATGGGCACCATAATGTAATGAATGTTTCCAAAGTACTGGCAGGTCCAGCAAAAAGTTAAGGGGTTCCATCTTCCTGTGATTGGGGCAGCTGTCTCCAAATGGGTGCTCCCTACAGACACCAGGGTGATACTGTCCGGGCTCCTCTGAAGCACCTCCAACTCCACTGAAGTGAAGAAAAACTAGGACTTGGTCTTTGCTTTTGAGAAGAAACAAATGGACACCAGGAAACACATCAGCGAGCACCATAGCATCCATGGGACCATGTCTGAAATGACTGACCTAGGACAACGCTCACATCTGGAACTCTATTTTTCCCAGTGTAACCTATTTCCATAAGGTAGCATTGTTGATATTTTGCCTCTTTCTAAACCTCTCAACCATTGTCTAAATCTTTTCACTTTGTACTTTCTTCTAAGAAGCATCTCCTTTCAGTGCTCTGGTTCTCTGGAAGTATAATGCAGTTTGGAATGAACAGTGTTTATTTCAACTGATAGCATTAGTATTATGGTTTATTATTGCTCACCAGAATTCCTCATGTATGTAGCACTGACATTTCCAAAGGTGACATTAGGAGGCCAACAGATCCATAGCAATGATTTGATTAGTATTTTTGTTCATATCCCACTCTAATTCAAAAGCATTGAGAGAAGCAGACAAAGAGTTGCTAAAAGTCTCCCACTCAGGTACCTGCCTTCAGAGGCAGAACTATAACGAGTGCTCTTTAGCCTTTCTGTGGATTAATAGCAGGTGCATTGACAGCAGATTGTATGGAAACATTCCATATTTCACTCCCAAGCTTTTCCTAGCTACACTATACAATGCCATTTTGCTTTTATCATGCCATTTCCAAGCATTTGAAAGAAATACATTCTGTCTACACAAGCAGATTTGAAGAGAGGACTAGATACTGTTTTTCCCTGAGGGCTTGAAAGCAAGGATAAGTTTAATCAATGCAGAAAACAGCCCACCTGTCTGAATTAATGGATGTACTTTTTGTTTGCAGCCTTCTTTTCTCTCTTTTCTTTGCTTCTGGAGCAAATTCAGTATGCCGTCCCGGATTAGCAAACTGTAATGACTTCAAGGTCTTAGCTGTGCGCCCCTGAACAGATACAGACAACTTAACTTGAAACAGTAATACAAAGCTCAATGCATAAACCACTGCTAATCAAGTTGGGGTACATCACATGTAGTATTAAATTTGGGCACAAACCTGAGGCCATGTGTGACAACAACACTTGTTAAGTGTCAAATCCTTCAGAAGTTGAATACACACATATTTTCATTTATTTTATTTACGTTGTTTACAGTCTGCCTGTCTCACTTCTATGTAAGGTGTACGCAGAATGAGTCAATACATCGATGGATGGGACATTCAATAAACAATGCAATAGGATTAGGGTTTTAGAACCTACCAGAAGTCTAAACACAAAACTGAAGCAAAACATTGGCGTCTCTTATGTTCTTAGCATTTGCTACTGTCACATATGAATGCTATTACTACGTGCATCATGTCACATTGATGCTGAGAGAACTTCACAGGACTGCTGGTTAGTCTCCAGGCCAGATTTGGTGTTGATTAGGGTTCTTTCTTGCTTGCTTGCTTGCTTTCTGACTTGCTTGCTAGTCCATCTTTTTCACTTGGACTCAAGGTGGATTACACAGATTGTGTCAATACAGTCGACCAGATAGGACATTGAAATAAACAATGCAGTAGGATTAGGGTTGTAGAACCAACCAGAAGCCTAAAAACACAACTGAAGCAAAGCTTAAATGTTAACATGACATGTTAAATGATGCCAAAATTACATAGCAGGGTCCTAGTTTTGGCAAGTTATACACAGTAGTATAGGCCACAATTCCTAACAATTTTGTGAATCATTTAGTACAGTACAACCCTATTTCCTGCGTAGAAAGCCTTCTTGAATAATTCAGTTTTGCATAGTTTGTGGAAAGCTGTGAGTGGGAGCCTTCCTGACCGCCTCAGGCAGGCCATTCCACAAGGTTGGAGCCACGCTGGAGAAAGCACATCTGGAAGTCACTGATTTTGTCCATTTGCAGGTTGGCAGCTGCAGAAGAGGGGTTGTGGTGGCTCAGAGGTTAAGATGCAGACCGAAAGGCTGGTAGCTTGGCAGTTCGAGACCCGAGTGCCACATGACGGAGTGAGCTCCTGTCTCCGGCCCCAGCTCCTGCCAATCTAGCAGTACGAAAGCAAGAAATTGCAAGTAGATAAATAGGTACCGCTTTGGTGGGAAGGGAACAGCGTCCCGTGCACTTCGGCATTTAGTCATGCCAGCCACATGACCACGGAGAAGTCTTTGGACAATGCAGGCTCTTTGGCTTGGAAACAGAGATGAGCTCCTAGATTTGGATTCGACTGGCTTTCGAGCCTGCAGTTCAGCATCTTAACCACTTGAGCATCCGCAGCTCCATTTGTACGTGATAGCTAATAGCTTAAATTGAGCCTGGTAACTGACAGGCAGCCAGTGAACGGCCTACAGGATGGGAGTAATATGTTTGCTCCATTTAGCTCCAGATAATAGCCAAGTCCATGTGGGAGATACAGTTAAAACTAGCAGCCCCCAAGCTGAAGGAAATATCTACTAGGGAGGTGCTCTGTCTCAAGAATGATCGTTACACATGTGAGCAAGTAACTGCCCTGTATCATAGCAGAAGGCCAATACTATAACATACGCTACATCTTCATGGAATCACTTCTTGGTGGTCCTGAGCTGCTATTCAGTGTTTCCCCAGTAAGGAACAGTAAGGAAAGTAAAAACAAAACAGAAATTGCCACCTTTGGAGGACGCAATTGAACATAACAGTGACCTTAATGGTGTAAATGAATGAAAACATACCACAGCTGTACTTTGGGAAGGTCAGATAAAGAGAGGGTCATGTGTGTTTATACTTTCAGAATGTCCAAACGATATTCTTATCACCGTGCATGCACTGACTCTTACACATCAATCCACTTCAGCTTCCAACAGTCTCCCAATTCTTTTGTCCACCGTTACACTCACTTTTACAGTTATCATGTTTACCTTGTTTATTCATATGTGCACTTACTTCACTCAGTTATTATATAATCACCAGTATTCCGTCTAAGCTAGCTCATGGAGTTTTAGCCTCCGGCTCACACATTTTTGTCTCAGCTCAGGAACGATGGCTCCAGAGCAAACTAATTTATGCAGTAGCCAAATCGCTCGCTCACCGGTAGCTCACAAAGTAGAATTTGTGCTCACAAGATCCCACAGCTTAGAGGGAGGATTGATGATCATGTGATGATCAATGTGTCAAGTGGCTTTCCTGAAAGTTAACTGTTGTGAGATTATACGAAAACCCCATCCATGACATTTGATTAGTAATGTTTCACACATACAAGCCACTGCTTCATTCTGTAGTTCTCAAATGATGAATGACTGTGTACATGTGTATAATATCCAGCACATGGTTAACACTTAAGATGGGTTTTTCTAGTCTGGATATAACTAGAAAATAATGTTCCCGCTTTCTGTGTATTTTGATCCTATGCATATTTACTCAAAACACATGCTACTGTTTCCCACAAGCTTGCTCCCAGGTTAAAGTGTGCACATGATAGTCTTAGTCCAGTATGTAGACAAGTAAAAAAAATGCTTCATATGCATACATCTGAATCAAGTGTCCTTTGCTGATGGTCTTCAGAACCCACCTCAGCATTTCCACTGATTATCTGTGTGCATTTTGGACAAAATTTCCAGCCAGGGACAAAATGTCATCCAAACTTGGCACTTACAACAGTTGTATCATCTACGTCAATAGCATGCAAATTTTTCTTTGGAAGTTTTTTTGTGCATATTAAAAGGATCACAGCATGACTTTTTGCAAGTCTTCATCTATCAAGATAAACTTAAGCATGATAAAAAATAGACAGTACAAGTGGGGACTCATGATACTGGCAGGGGAGGTAACTCCTCTCACCATCCTGATTCCCCTCCATTGCTTTTGCCATCCTTGAGGGCACCATAGCTCTCACCACCCTCATCAGCAGACCTCTCCCCCCATTGCCACCAGGCCTGCTAAGACTCCTGTCCCCCCCCCCAGCAATAACAGTGGCAAGCCCCATATGGTTCCTTCCCATCGAGCTCACTAAGGTTTCTCCATCCCACCATCAATGGTGGCAAGCTCCATGTGGCTCCCCCCAACTGCCAAGTCTACCAAGGCTTCTCCCCCTCCACTGTTGACGACCATGGCAACAGGGACTCCTGTGCAGCTCCTAGCCCCGGGTTTGCCTAGGCTTCTTTCCCCCATCAGTGATGGTGGCAGGAAGCCCTGTGTGGCATCCAGCCACCAGGCTCACTCTGCCTCCCACCCTCAACGGCAATGGCGGTGAGCCCTGTGCGGTAGAGGGGTGTGCATTCAGTATAAAGCAACGCTAACTAGTAGTTGATTTCCAACAGAACATGGATCTGTACAATCAGTACAATTGTCCACATTGTGTCATTGCTTTCTTTAGCAGCTGTTAGGAGGATTATCCTGGAGGGAAAAAACAGCACCGGAAGTAAGATTTATGCTGCAACTTTTCCTTTCAAACTTGACTGATGAGTTTCAAAATGAAAATCCATCCTAAAATTAAATTCAAGAAACGTATCAGGTATACTAATTATTCACTCAATGACCTAGCTAAATTATACAATTTACTTTGTATTGCAGACAGCCATTATGTACAGGAAAAACAACAACAACTGGGGCTCAACATGAGCACTGACACTCTTCCAGAGTGCTCTAAACCCCTGACTTGCATCTAGTGTCCTCAGTAGCATCCATCAACTGCTGGGCATGAGGCAACTGATAACTGTTTTATAAAGCATCTAAGGGGCCTTACAGACCAGAGGAGTTAGCTATGACACGGGTATCCAGCAATCATCCATCTGTAATGCCAACTATAATAAACTTCAGAGCTAAGGGAGAACCAATCAAGAAATATATGTTTACTGATGTTTTAAAGAAAGTCACAGGAGTGAACTGGTGGGAGTCACTTGAGCACTTGGATTTAGAGACTGCTTAAGTAATGCTTTCACTTTTAACAGCAGTAGCTTCTGCTGGTGTAGAAAGAATATTCATTCTAAACTGAGAAGTTGTTTGGGACCCAATGAAGCAGGAAAACTTGTTTTTCTTCTCCAGATTATGAACAAACAAGATGAAGATGAGTGAGCTGTATAGGACAGTATTTTAAGTTTTTCATGTGTGGACTGGGCTGATAGTCTAAGTTTTTTTAAAAGATATTTTGTTTTAACCACGTCAGTTAACAAACATGTATATTTAAGCAAATACAAGAATACATATGCTATAATGTTATTGTTTTAGTTAAATAAAACTATCTAAATTATTATTAAGGTAATGATTATTTTTCTCCTTCCCATAAAGTACAGCAGAAAAGTTGTCCAAATATGAATAATTAACATACTAAAATGGAGATAGGTAATTATGAAATTATTGCAAGGTAAACTGATGGGTTTCTAATAGTATAACCAAATTAGCATTTTTTTATATAACTTGGTGCTTGGGGGGGGTCAACAGTGGGAGGGCTTCTAATGTCCTGGTCCCACTGGTGGACCTCCTGATGGCACCTGGTATTTTTGGCCACTGTGTGACAAACTGTTGGACTGGATGGGCCTTTGGCCTGATCCAACATTGGTGTCTTATGTTCTTATGTTAACTGTAAAATTAATCTGAAAAGTCGTTAGTTTAAAAATGAAACCTTCATCTGGTTATAAATATTAAGATTATACCAACAAGAATGAGCCTTTATGTAGAAAACAATTATTTAAATCTAGACTTACTAACTAGTGATTTAAATAGATTTGACTTAAATCAAATCCACCCTGCCTGCTACCCTTTACACCTAGGAAAACTATGGCCCAGTTGCATGGTGCCAGTTGTCAGTGTGGATCCAACTGCACAGTGGTGAACCTACATGGGCTTGTGAATGGCAGCCATTTCCCTGTCTTTGACACTACCCCCCCCAAACTATTTCTTCTCTCTCTCCACTTGGCAATCCCCAATTCTCTGCTTCCTTCTCTCCTTCCCACCACCCACCATACTTTTATCTGCCCTGCCAACTTCACCTATATTTATTACGTATTTACTTTATTTATAGCCCACTTTTTTCCAGAAATGGGGACTCAAAACACCCTACTTCATTCTCTTCTCCTCCATTGTATCCCTAGAGCAACTCTGTGAGCAGTGGTGGACTGGGAGGGAAAAAATCTGGAAAAAAGCCCCCCCTCCAGGCCACCATGTTTCTGCTCCACCAAAAGAGGAGAGAAGAAGCAGCAGTCTGCCTGCCCCAGCCTCCCAAAGGGGGGGGGGGATGAAGAGGCAGCCTGCCTAATCAAATGACCTGGTCAAATGACCTGGGGTCATACTGGACCAGCATTACTGCTGGAGAAGCAAGCTATCAAAAAAAAAATATCTTCCATCATCTATTTGGCCAAAAGATAGCTCCCTACCCCGACTCGGACAACTTGGCCACATGGATCCAAGTCATGCCTCAGTGTTGTAATGCACTCTACATGGGTCTGCCCTTGAAGTAAAGTCAAAGACTCCAGTTGGTGTAGAATGCCGTACCTTGGCTACTATTGGGAACTAGTCAGAGTATGCATAATATCAGGTGGGGTAGCCATGTTGGTCTAAAGCAGCAGAACAGAACCATTCTACAGTCACTCTTACCTATCAGTCACTAGGTTCAAGTTAAAGTACTGGTAATCACAAAAAAAGTCCTTCATGGCCTAGGACAGTGGTGGCGAACCTATGGCACGGGTGCCAGAGGTGGCACTCAGAGCCCTCTCTGTGGGCACACGTGCCATCACTCCAGCCAGGCCCAGACCATCATTAAAGTGTCGAATTCTCTGCCAAATAATTTTAAGTAAATGAAAGCATTTAGCATTGCCTTCCTTAGTTTGTTTGGCTCATCTTAAGTTAATGTATGAGTTGTTTTTTCTAAAGTAAAACCTCAGTATTCAGGTTAAATTGCCGTGTTGGCACTTTGTGATAAATAAGTGGGTTTTGGGTCGCAGTTTGGGCACTCGGTCTCTAAAAGGTTCGCCATCACTGGCCTAGGACCATCAGATCTGCAGGACTTGACCTCTCTTGCTATGCTCTGTCACAACAGCTTTGCTCATCCAAGTGAAACCTTCTGAAACTGTCATCGGACAAATGAGTAAGATCAATAGCTGCCATACACATGCTTTCTTTGTTGCGGCCCATGCCTTGTGGAGTGGCCTGCCAAAGGAGATCAGAAAGGCTCCCATACTTCTGTGTCACTCCACAAAATGTGTAAAACAGAATTGTTTAGAAAGGCCATTTTTACAAAGGGAATAGGAATCTAGTACAATTGAATTGTTCAGGAAAGCACTTTTATAAAGGAAATGAGATCCTAGTCCATGCCAATTTTTATTCTATGCATTACCTTGCTCTAACTGCCTTTTCTACTTCTCTAATTCCTTTTCTTTTGCATTGTCTGACACACCATGTCTGATATTTTTTCATCGTTCCTAATTTTTGTAATCCTAATCCTAATGCCTTTGAATACATTGTTTTACACCCTTGGAGTCTGAGAGAGAAAGGCAGGCTATGAAGTAAGTACATTATAACGAATCTATTTGGCTGCTTTGGGAGTGATTCACAACCACTCTCTGTGAATGGATTACACCCTTCCATCGGCCTTTCTTTATAATACTGCCGCACCCTCAACGATTGTGCCATTTTTCTACTGTATGCATCTGAAAAAATGCGCTTGTATGAAATTGTTTAAATAAATCGTTCATACATAAAGTACTATGCTTGACTCCTGTGTAATACCTCACTAAATGCACTTATTGTAGTTAACAATTAGCAGCACAAAATAAAACACCCCATTACTGAAATGATGATATGGGAAAGAAAACACGCACAACCACTTCGCAGACTCTGATGCATAGCACCCCTCCTTCTATATTCCTGTTGCTGGGGCACTTTTAGTTTTCGACTTTTTACTTCTAACAAACATCGCCCTTTTCGTAAACCGCTACGACGGTGCTAATGGGGACATTCCTGGCGTTCAACCGACAAGGCGAAGCAACGCTCCCCTCCCTTTACTAGCTGGGGCGTAACTGAAGCTTGAAAGAGGCGAAGGACACAAAAGAAGTCCTTCAGGCCGTCCACAGGCTCCTCTCACCATCCCGCCAACACGTACCTTGCCATAAGCTTTTCTTCGGCCCTGTCCTGAAAGCATCCCCGAGCCCACTTCCCCAAAAGCCGCCATGACCGCGATCAGCTCCACGCACTTCCCTGTCTCCTTTATGAACCGGAAGGAAGCGGCTGCAGAATCCCAGCACAAAGGGACTGTAGTCTGCGTGAGGCCTTCACAAGACTTCCGGATTCTGATCGAAGACGGTAGAGTCCTCCATGTGCGGGTCAAGCGCTCTAGAAGGACATAGGCGTTAATGTGGGAAATCACGACAAGCGAGGCTGAAGAGTCCCTTTCATTACGCAACCACACGCTTTCCAAAAGAAAGTAAAGTACAGAGGATAAAACTGCATGCTGGGTGGGGATATTGGTGTGAGGAGGGCAGAGCTGTCGCCTACGTGCTTTCCTGAGAGGGTAGTAAAAAAGAGGCTTCTTTTTAGGGGATGTACTAAAAGGAAGGACAGGATCGCCCATTGGAAACAATGGGAAACACTTGAAGGCTCATTCGAAATAATGAGAGCTAGGAATGCCAATTGACTTGCATGGGCTCCATTGAAATACATTACAGTACAAGGAGAGTTGCAATAAAAATGCGGAATGGATTTTCCATTAGAGTTTCTGGGCCTGAATAGACTACTCTGGTACTGGAATGAGAGACCAACAGCCCCAAGGTGTAGCAGGAGTGTTCTGGGACTGGGATGAGAGGCCCCAGAGCGGAATGACAGCCTCTAGGAGTAACAGAAGTGTCCTGGGATTGGAATGAGAGACCACGGAGTGGAATGACAGCCCCAGGGTGTAGCAGTAGTGTTCAGGGACTGGAATGAGAGACCACGGAGTGGAATGACAGCCCCAAGGTGTAGCAGGAGTAGCCTGGGACAAGGAGGAGAGACCATGGAGTGGAATGACAGCCCCAGGGTGTAGCAGTAGTGTTCAGGGACTGGAATGAGAGACCGCAGAGTGGAATGACAGTCCCAGGGTGTAGCAGTAGTGTTCAGGGACTGGAATGAGAGACCGCAGAGTGGAATGACAGTCCCAGGGTGTAGCAGTAGTGTTCAGGGACTGGAATGAGAGACCGCAGAGTGGAATGACAGTCCCAGGGTGTAGCAGTAGTGTTCAGGGACTGGAATGAGAGACCGCAGAGTGGAATGACAGTCCCAGGGTGTAGCAGTAGTGTTCAGGGACTGGAATGAGAGACCACGGAGTGGAATGACAGCCCCTGGGGGTAGCAGGAGTGTTCTGGTACTGGTATGAGAGATCATGGATTGGAATGACAGCCTCAGGGTGTAGCAGGTGTGTGCAGGGACTGAAATGAGAGACCACAGAGTGGAATGACAGCCCCTAGGATTAACGGAAGTGTTCTGGTACTGGAATGAGAGACCACGGAGTGGAGTGATACCCCTTGGAGTAACAAAAGTGTTCTGGGACTGGGATGAGAGGCCCCGGAGTGGAATGACCGCCCCTAAGCATAACAGAAGTGTTCTGGGAGTGGGATGAGAGTCCACGGAGTGGAATGACAGCCCCTGGATGTATCAGGAGTGTTCAAGGACTGGGATGAGAGACCACGGAGTGGAATGACAGCCCGTTGGAGTAATTGAAGTGTTCTGGGACTGGAATGAGAGACCATGGAGTGGAATGACACCCCTTGGAGTAACAAAAGTGTTCTGGGACTGGAATGAGAGACCACAGAGTGGAATGACAGCCCCAGAATGTAGCAGGAGTGTTCTGGGACTGGGACTAGAGACCACGGAGTAGAATGACAGTCCCTGGGTATAGCAGGAGTGTTCAGGGACTGGAATGAGAGACCACAGAGTGGAATGACAGCCCCTAGGAGTAACAGAAATGTTCTGGGACTTGAATGAGAGACCACAGAGTGGAATGGCAGCCCCAGGGTATAGCAGGAGTGTTCAGGGACTGGAATGACAGGCCACAGAGTGGAATGACAGTCCCAGGTATAGCACGAGTGTCTATGGATTGGAATGAGTGACCACGGAGTTGAATGACACCCCTTGCGGGTAGCAGGAGTGTTCTGAAACTGGAATGACAGGCCCCAGAGTGGAACGACAGCCCCAGGGTGTAGCAGGAGTGTTCAGGGATTGGAATGAGAGACCACAGAGTGGAATGACAGCCCCTGGGGGTAGGAGGAGTGTTCTGGGACTGGGATGACAAGCCCTAGAGTGGAATGACAACCCCTAGGAGTAACAAAAGTGTTCTGTGACTGGGATGAGAGGCCCCAGAGTGAAATGACAGCCCCTAAGAGTTACAGAAGTGTTCTGGAACTAGAATGAGAGTTACAGAAGTGTTCTGGAACTGGAATGAGAGATCGCGGATTGGAATGACAGCCCCAGGGTGTAGCAGGAGTGTTCAGGGACTGGAATGAGAGACCACGGAGTCGAACGATAGCCCCTGGGGGTAGCAGGAGTGTTCAGACACTGGAAGGACAGGCCCCAGAGTGGAATGGCAGCCCTGGGGTGGAATTACAGCCCTAGGGTGTAGCAGGAGTGTTCAGTCTCTGTAGTCTGGAGATCAGTTGTAATTCCAGGAGAACTCTGGTCCTCACCTAGAGGTTGGCAACATTATTCATTAGCAGAATGCACATTTAATTATTCTTCAGGATGCTTTTCTGCATTAATAGCATTCATACATTCAAATGCAAGAAAACTCAAAGGCCCTTCTAGCAGCTTGGTTTGGTGCAGAGTTGGTAATGCTTATGTCTATTTATCTCAGTGGGCTTTGACACACTTAACTTTATAGATAATTGAGCTGTGGGGTAGATAACTGATGTTAGATGAACTGCTTTATCTATAGCAGTTGGCAAATTTTACTCTGGGTTGCTTTTGCCAGCTATACCAAGGTCCAGTCCACCCAGGGATTTTACCTGTAAAAGTGGCTGTTGGTTCCAAAATAATCTGTCTTTTACTTGATAATGTATAAATCACATACACACAATACTGAAGCGCACACACATTCAATCAAGTTCCTCAGGAATACAAGGTTACAAAGAATCACTTTTGTATTCACAGGTTGGGTGATAAAGAGCAATACTTATCTGTCCTGAAGCTTGCACGTCACAATGAAGAATGAGGGGTCAGGAAAATATAGTAGGGAGATTTAACACACCGCTAGAACCAGCTAGCTAGTGTGGGCCTCTTGACTGCAGATCAAGAGATCAAGTAGAAGCAAGGGTTTTTGGTACGGGAAGCTGAACTTAAGAGGAGTTTGAAAGCAGACAGGGGCCGTTGGTGGGGGAAGGCGGCTAGCAACTGCCAGGCAGCTGGTCTTCACCTTTTATAGGTGAATCTTTGGGTGGGTGGCATCTGTGCCAGCCTGTGGACCCACCTCCCTGCTAGTCTGTCCCCAAACTAACCTCATTGGCTGCGTGCATTGACGGGTGGCAACCTTAAGGGTTGGGCCAATATTATAATACTAGATCTAACTCAAGGAATGGCATCTGGATAAGTGTGAAAGTTTGGCGTCAAGGAACTTCCTTGATGTGCAGATGAAGCTTGACCTTTCCCAGGTGATCAAAGAGGTATCTTACAGGAAATGCTCTTTCAGATGTAAAGCAGAGATGTGTACGACGTGTCATTCAACAGTTCATCAATGGGGGATTCTTTCCTTAAGTTGTTGTTTGCTGACAATAATGGCGATGTGTGCTTTCTTTCTTTCTTTTCTTTTTTTTTGAGCCCCTGGAGGGGATTTTTTATTAATTTTTTCCACTACAAAAAGCTACAACAGAAAAAGGGAGGGGGAACTACACGTACGGGGAGAAAGCAAAGTACCCACTACTAACTAAAAACCCAAGAGAGGAGATCCTCCAACTAGCTTTTATACATCCAGTCTTTTCATCATTTTTCTTTTTTATGAACTGTGTCAAACTTTTAAAACTTTTTACCCTCTCAGTTTACATTTAACTGCCCAATAACAGTACCCCCAATCATCCCCAAGAACCAAAGTTCTCAAAGGCACAATTCAGAGTCCTTCAGCCTTTTTACTTCTTCTCTCTTCTTTTCTGCAACTTGTAAGGACTTTTTGGGGCTGCTGCCCCTTGCTCAGAAAGAGAACCCTCACCAGATGAACAGGTTTCCAGCTCGCCACTGGACCTACTGTCCTCTTCTTTTTTCTCGTCCTCTGGCCTTCCCAGCTGTTACTTCAGAAATTCTTGAGCTTTCAGAACAGAGTCAATCTTTTCCTT